GATTTTGGAGATTCGAAGCGCCGCCGCAGTACGTACTGGACACGTGCCATAGGTACTGAGGTACCTACCTCAAGGTGCAGAGTACGAGGGCCTCTTACATAATCAGCCCTGACCACTCACCGTCTTGTCCTTCTTCCCCGCCAAAATACCCGCGGTTTTCCCCGTCCATCCTCCAGAGTTTCCGGAGTTCAAGTCGTGCAGTTCTTCCTGGTTGACGATCCACGACAGTCTCAGAGACTTTGCTGGTTTGGACGACCCAGTCTGACTTGATAAACATTTTCAAGATCCTCACCAAAGGAAGAAATGCAAACAGTTCTCTGTTCTCACAACCTAAGCTGTGAGCCTCCACAATGCCCTCTCTGCCGGCTCCCATTGCCGTCCCTTGAGATAGTTGTCCCATCGCTTCGGCCTTCTCTCAACTTTGAACCGTTCCATCTGCGGCCCAAACCGCCTCCTTATCGAAACATTGGGCTCCGATGGGCCCCGTGCATCTTGCAAATCTCCTTGGAACTATTCTTGACTCTGAGGCTTCACACACAACCATGGCCGCCGAAACCTTATCCACGAACCCATCACGATTCACCTCTGCCGCAGGCCCATCAGTCCAGTCGAGACCCTGAAATCCTGAGCAAATTCCAAACTTTCCTTTGTGCCATGCTTGTTCTGTTTCCTTTCGTCTCTCTGCCCCTCCACTCGGACGCTTGCCGACCTCTTCTCCTCGGCCCCCCATGTTCACCCTTCACCCCGCCATCTGCCAATCTGGCGTCCGCGTCCCGCCAAGAAGCGCTTCCACTTGCCCTCCCACCACCCTTCCCATTACGCCCCTCCATCTTGTCTCTCTGCGCGGACTCAATGCCGAACGCCGTCTCAAGAATTCGTGATTTCTCAATACGCACAACATTCAATCTGGGGCCCCGGCGCAAAGGGACCTTCCATGGTCGAGGCTCGGCCGGCATCTCGCAGCTTCGCACGCTTCACACAACTCCAAGCGACGCCCGTTCGTGTCCTCTCCCGTTCGCCCCGTACTTCCCGACTGCACAGTATCCCTCATATAACCAACCCGTGACCGCAATGTTTCCCGTGTTTCGAGTCTCCTACCACCAGTTCTCTCTACTCATACTCAGTATACCTTTACCCCATTCAACTTTCAACCTCATACGTGAGCCGTAGTCTGCCTTCGTAGCAACACGCATATTGTAATTCTCTTTCTTCGTTCGCCTTTCACTAAAGATACCCAATCCTTCATTCACTATGCCTCCCGTAGCAGTAAGCGACATGGACCTCCCCGCGGAGCCCGTCCACCCCCTCCCCGAAGCAAAGGATCCTCTCGCCTCTTCCGTCGCAACACCTCAGCTCTTCTCTCTCTCCAACAAGACCATCGTCATTACCGGCGGCGGCCGCGGTCTGGGCATCACCTTCGCCCTCGCCATCCTCGAAGCCGGAGGCCACGCCGCCTGCCTCGATATCCTCCCAGAGCCCTCACCCATCGAATGGGCGCACCTCACCAAGCTCGCCACCTCCAAGAACCTTTCCATCTCATACCACAAGTGCGACATCACCGACGAGGAAGCTACGGAAAAGGTCTTTGAGGAGATTGCAGACGCCGCCGACAGCCGCGGTGCTCCCTTCTGGGGCGCCGTCGCCTGCGCCGGCATCCAGCAGAAGATTCCCGCCCTCGAGTACCCCGTTGCCGACTTTGAGCGGATACAAAAGGTCAACGTCGTGGGTGTCTTTGTGACGGCGAAGCACGCCGCCCGCGTGTTGGTGAAGCGCAAGAGCAAGGGCAGCATCTTGCTCATTTCGAGCATGTCTGGAGAGATTGCGAACAGGGTAAGTGTCTACACCCCGATCTTGAAGGTTTGGTTATCATCAGAGCTTCCGGACTAACACTCCTCGCCAGGGACTGACATGCAGTGCCTACAATACCAGCAAGGCTGCCGTTCAGCAGATGTGCAGGTCTGTCGCTCAGGAGTGGGGCCAATACGGTATCCGCGTGAACACTCTGTCGCCCGGTGTAAGTTCCACTCATCCACCGTCACCGCGTTTCGTTACTAATTCATCAACAGTACATCCGGACCGCAATGACCGATCAGCTTTTGCAGGCCGAGCCTGAGGTTGAGACAACTTGGATGAGGGGAGCCCTTCTCCAGCGCCTGGGTACACCCGAGGACTTCAAGGCCCCGGCCGTCTTCCTCCTGTCCGAAGGCAGCTCTTTCATGACCGGTGCAGACCTCCGTGTCGACGGTGGACACTGCGCCTCTGCTTGATTTGTCTCTCATCATGTGAGGATGCTAGATAAAGGTTGTCTTGGATAAAACGGCGTTGGTCTCACGATATCAGATGAGGTTCCGACATTGGAAGCCTCTCACCCCTCATTGCAGCTCGCGTTGGAAAGTTCACGCAGCCGTGAGTTAACGCAAATCTAGAAGTGTAGAACGAGTATGAACAGAGCGAGCATCAATAGCGATATCATCATGTTTCCCGACTTATATGCGTGCCTTGAGTCTGGAAACAGGAAAACACCAGACGACAGCCCAACGTACGATGAGTAATATGAACACATTCACCAAGTGATGGCACTTATAGAGGATGCACTGAGCTCTTATTGGGTATTACCAGAATGCAAACGATGTGTCACCCTCATAACGCCTTAAACGCCTAATGTAGTTTACAGCAGTCCATCTCTAAAGGCCTATGGCTGTCGTTTGTGCTTGCTCGGACCTCCTCATTAATCAAGCTCTATCGGTCAAGCAACCTTCCCAATGCTTTACTTTTAACCAAGGTAGCTTGATGCAATAGGTTTCCATCCCTGCTCAGGCGTATTTCTCCTCATCGCCCTGAATCTTCAACGCCGTCTTCGCCATTTTCAGTATATGTTGTACGCAGGCCTCGTACAGTGGCGGTGGTGTTGGTAGAGAAGATCCTTGCTGCGCTAATCCATGGAGTGTTGTACCGTTGATGAAGATCATATACCTTCCACTCTATTGTAGTAGAATTATCTCCATCCTAATAATTCCCTAGTAGCTCAGCAAGCATCCTACTTCTGCTGCTTCGGTTGCTTGTGGCAGGTGAGTTTGCCCCCTTCATTAACCCAAAACTCATCCTTGGGCTTCCTAGACTCATTAAGATCCATTCCCAGCCAGATCTTAGCCTGGATCACCTCATCGTTGTCCTTCTTACAGTCGCAGGTCAAGTAGGTGCCAGCAGGCAACCCGTCCTTTGGCACAAGAGAGCTGCCGACAGTGCACATGCCGCAGTGATCGCGAATTTTCTTCTCATTGAGATTATTCCACCCGAGAACGCCCTTGACGGGGTCAAAGATGACGCACTCGTCAACGTTGACGTACGTCGGCTGGCCAAAGTTGCCATCCTTGTCGGTACAGCACGCCTCGAAAAAGAAGTCACCGTTGTAGGGGCCGAACTTGCCCTTATAGGTGCGAGCCTGGATGCAGCGTCCGCCGAGGAAGTCTGCACGCTGATTTTGGCGGTTAGGAAAGGTGGCGAGGCGCTTCAGGCAGAGTTCCGGGTTAGCCGAGGGGGGGATGGAAATTTTGGCTGGGCCACCTTTGGCTGAAACTGTGTTGGTCATGGCAGCGATGGCGAGAACGAGGAGAGATGAGAACTGCATTATGACGGCGTTCGGGTTGTTTGAGCTGTTTGGTGGGTGTTGGTAGAGTGAGATGGTGTTCTTGATATGAGTGTGATGTGACGTTGGAGTAGAGCTGTCTGAGAATCTGAAAACGAGTAGATGAGTGGATGGTGTGTTCTGAGCTTTTGAGACGTAGTGGAGAGAGAATGGGATTGATCATAGAATCTATGAACAATTACGGGAGAAAGACTTTGTTTCTATACCTATTCTCATGGTACCTCTGCTACCACCAATGCCATCGGAGATAGAATGAAGGTTTCTTGGCCTCAGGAAGTTATGGTCAAGACCATGTAAGACCCTGTGAAGCCTGCAAAGCCGTTGGGACCTGAAACCCTAAAACGCCATTCGAATATCAAGGTATACTGAAACGGGTCGACGGGAGTAGTAAAGAATTACATCCTTTCCGCATTCATGTCCCTGATCCTTAGATATACGAACCAAAAGCCTATATGAGGAGCTGATTTGGAGAAAAGATGACATGCGGGGATCCTTTTGTTGACGACATCCGCACTCAATGAAATAGCCTGGGCATAGATGCACAAAATAAGAAAACTCTCAAAAACTCAGGCGCTACATTCCCAGAGACAAGTCAAGCTATCAGAGCATCCGTTCCCATCCAGTGAAGCGGATAAGCTCAAGGTTGACTCCATCAACAGTGGATCCCCTAATCTCACGATGTCCGCGTTGCGGGCTGCCTGCAGTGGGGTTTAGGGCTTCACTTCCACAATCTCGATATCAATAACAGCTGGTCGGTTAGCTCAGTTGGTTAGAGCGTGGTACTAATATTTCATCAGAAATGTTGAGTAATGCCAAGGCCGGGAGTTCAAGCCTCCCACTGATCAATCTTTTGCTTTTGGTCATCAGGGTTGCTGTCAAACGCCTCACACGCATCGTGGAGTCTTGGGAGACAAGGACTTGTATAGATGCGGGAGAACTTAGGCTCACAAGGTATGTCAGACTCGATTTCGCCGCCATGAAATGAGTCACGCGTATTGTCAACTTCTGTGGAGACCTGTAGAAACTCGGCTTTACCATGCAATCACCAAAGTCTGCTTGATTCATGCCAGGAATTATGCTAAGTCACAGGATGGACATAGTTGTTACATGGGCATGTGGAAATCGATTGTCAGATACCTAGCTCGAACGGTTGTTCATCCGTAAATGTGACCAAGCCTGCGGTAACCCTTCCACCAGGAGACAGCAATGCGAGTATTGATTATTGTATGAAAAGCCTATACCTACTTACTCATCAATACCACATCCGGAATAACCTTGACCCAAGGCTATGTGAATTATTACGTCTCGTTCTTCATCATCTTTCCGTTGTGCATGAAACCTTCTAGTTGCCTGGTCACATGCTCATCGGAGACACAACGTCAAGTTGATCTTCTTTCCTCGTCGCGTCAAGCTCATACCTGGGTCTAGCGCCATCAAGCTCGACAGTTCGCTCGACTGTCTCCAGCTCACTAGGGCGGCGGGTACCCTTATGAAAGTATTTGGCCTCGGGCTTGCCACGTCCCTCTTCCGTTTCCCCAGTCAGCGTAACTCCCTCTATCGTCTTTTGCTTCCGTTTTCTAATGAAGAGGATCCCCGCGACAATCAGTGCGGCACCCGCCACGCATCCGACTGCTGCTCCAACTTTGACTCCAACTGGGATTCCGGTCTGCTCTTCGCTGGCCGGAGATGTTGTGCCAGTCGACTCAGACCGGGTGCCTGTGCTGGATGCTGTGCCTGTCCCGGTCCCGACAGATGTTGCGCTGGGTGTAACTGAGGCCAAAAGTGTAGACGTAGCTGTTGACAGACCAGCCGGCGTTGCAGTCAAAGAGCACGAAGTGGTAGTAGTGAGAATATGCGCCCAGTAGTAGCTAAGCTGAAGGGTGGAGATAGATGTCGCCGTGCAGAAGTAGTTGGCGGTGCCGTTGTCCCGATACACGCCCTTGTAGTCTGGCTTGCAACACCATGCGCCAGTATCTGGCTTATCATTGACAGTATCATTTGCTACCCACATACTCCATGATGGATCAGGGCACTGGGCTGTTAGTACGATACTCGTCTCGGTGTATCGCACTGGGGAACGGCGCGAGGTACCTTGGGGTGAGTATATGCCGAGGACGAGCAGTCGGTGGAGTCTAACAAAGACAAAGAGCGTCAGCAGATGATGCAGAAGTGAGAAAGGTATCAAGATGTATTCACGAACCTGGGCAGCAGTAGTTCCCATCGTAGCTGCCGTTGCCCGCACACGACAGCCCCGAGGGACAGCATCGAACTTGGAGTCCTCCGGCTTTTCCACATTCAAAGGGGGCATCCTGGGGACAGGAAGAACTGGGAAACCGAAGAGACCAGCCGCCAGCATAGTTGCATTCTTGAGCATAGGCCACATGTATGGCAACGAGAAAGGCACTGAGCATAATTCGAAAAATGGGCCGCCAAGGGCTTGCACCGGGACACGCGACAACCATGCTGTTGAACAGAAAGCAACTTTAAACGCTAGCAGTATGTATAATATGTGTAACTAGGAAGACAGATGGACTAATTCCGGAAGACGGAAATCGCGGGGACTGCTCTGATATTCAACAAGCCGCTGGGGGAAACCAAGGGATACGCAGGCGTGTATCTCTGTCGCCTATGACGGGAGGACGGGAGACTACCCCTCTTCTCTTTCAAGTCAGCCCTGCAAAACAGCGACATGCGACACAAACCTCGAATCGAATCGATTGGATAGAATCTGAGATAAGTCTACTTTAGCTATGCCATGACCGCTGCAAGTTTCTTATTGTGTCCTACCGAGGGCTGGAAAGGGATACCGCTATGTTGTGCATATTCATATCGCCTTGTGAGTGGACAGAATATCAGCCACTCCAGAAATCCAGCCCCTCGGAATGCAAGAGGGACAACGATAACCAAACTTCAGGTCAGAAATTAGCGCAGGCAACGGCCTCTAGAGAACGGCTGGGTGTGGCTTCCCAGGCAGCCGCCACCACATATTAATGATGTTTGCCACGAATGAAGGAATACCACTGACATAAATTTGAAGTCCGATGACTCGCAGGGCTTGAATCTGGTTTGGCAACTCTTCATCGTTCTACATCCCTCCGTAACGCCAATTCCTGCTTTGGGAACTTCTAAATCCTGATTCTTGCCATGATACGTGTCAACCTATCAACAATGTGTGAAAGAGGGCAGTCTGACTTCCCAAACGCCCACTTGATCTACTTGAAAAAACACCATTTAGATTACGAGACTCGAGAGCTTGAGTTCACATGTCCCGATTCTTTCAAATATGAGCCGAAAGAAATGGATGCCAAGGCCACTATGCCAGACATTCAAGAGTTCGGTGCTAATGCTTACTCACTTCTGTCTTGAGGCGTTTCTTTGACGGAAGTAGGTTTCACCGATCAATGTCGTTAACTTGGAAGGATTCTGATAAATTTTCAACGACTTGCTTGCGTTCCGATTCCTTGATTCAGGGTACTCAAGGGTAGCTGAGTGGAATCTCTGACTCTCGCTACGACGCGGGTTTCTTACTCCTACCTGAAATCATGTTTCCCCCCTTTCTTGGATCAAGGCTCAAATACTTAGTTTTAAGTGGTAACAAGTAGTCAAACTCGATCTTCTAGAAGTTTGATCGCGGACTTCTTGCTGTTGACTCTTGGGCAGCGCGTTGAACCATTATCGTTCGCACTCACAGACTGAGCTTTAAGTAAACCATAGTTGACTGTACAGGCTGTTGCGAGTTTGGCATCAAATCTTGGCAATGATGACCATCTGGAGAATCGATTCGTCACGAACATTACTGCTTGCGAAATTTGTGATATCTTACTGGTAATCAGGCTTGAGAACCAACGCTGAAGGAACTGACACGGTAGAGGAACACGCTTAAAAACCAATGTTGGGGATACGACGAGTGGGGTTTGGGTCGATCTTTCTTTGGCATGCCTCCTGAAGTAAAAGATACCGGGTCATGAATTGATACAAGCTGTGTATCGTAAAAAGGAATGATCAATATGTGAAAATGAGGCATTGCAGAACAAGGTAGTTTGGCTACTACACTCGTGTCATGCACGGATTTATCGGTGAAATTCTCAGCTATCTTAGTTGTGTTCAGTGTTCTTCAAATTTGTTCGTTTCGGAAGGGCCGTCGGTCGAATATGAGACGATTTTATTGGTGTACTGATGGCTTGTAACCCAAAGGTTGGAAGTAAATGGCCACGCTTGGCTGTGTATGTGACCTGCTAGTAGACACCCAACTTCGCTTTTCGTAGCATGTGATCAAGAGACTCGGAAACTAGCTCTTCTCTCCCACGAAATCATGTCGTTGAAATTGGCAGGACCAGATGGTTGGTTCATCCAGAACACAACTAGAACGTGGGGTGTTGGTTGCCAGACGAATCCAGAACATCAGCTTGCTGTGCACTAGCCACTGTCACAGCCGTCAGCCACGAGAAAGATAGTGGCGCTAGAAATGCCATCTCCGCAGCCGAAACCTTGCAGTGGCCGGCGGCGTGGCCGCCCTTCAGTACTTTGTTAGGGTGGCCATGCTCAAATCTTCCCGACGACTCGTTGAGCAGCGCGCCACCCGACCCCAAGGTGAATAGATCTCTCTTTCAACATCACATGTAAGATAGTGTCTGTCTCCGTCCATTGGGATTTCATCGGAGAATATCAGAAAATGCCATCAGAGTAACGACTCTACGCGATCTAGGGCCTGGTGACATGCCAGTCCTGCGGTCGCAGCTGCGGCTGAATTGAGTGAGAAATTCAGCATTCTGCGCCGGCGGCCACCATCTTATCATGGTTCGTTAGCGACATACAGGAATCAGCGCCTAAACATTTCACATTTAGCAACCAAGACCAGCACCTAGGGAGTGAGAAGCACCCTATTTGGGCTCGTCCAGGCTTTAGATAGGGAGATGTCTCGAGTGTCTAGTTGTTGTACACTCTACCGTCGCGTCTGCCGTCTGGGAGAAATTGGGTGAGCTTGGGAGCGTCTGGAGATAAGTGGAAACGAGTTGGTGTGTTGATCGAACGTGGTGAAGATCCCCCAGCCGTGTGAAGCGAGTGGGGCCAAGGGTTCGCTTCTCCTAGTTCTTATCTCGCTCTTGATGTGGTAGGATATTCCAGCCATCGTCTTATCAGGGACCAGCCGACCAAGAAGTACCGGTGGTTGCAGGGCAAAAGTTTGGTCTGGGAATGGTTCCGAGCCCCAGGTGATACCGAAGATATGGAATGCTAATTAGCACGCGAGCTGTTCAAGGCCCAGACAAGCGGACAATGATGGCATTTGCGAGGCAACGTCATGATTTATTAGATGAAGTTTTTTTTTTTTGTTCACGAGCATGTAATTGACCTTGACATCAATTTGGGTCCAATGAAAGATCTATTCTCTCCAGGCTCTCGCAGGGTGCTGGCCTTGTGGCCTTGCGACTCTGGTGTGAGACTGCCACGTCAATTTACCGCTGACGAGGACAGGGAAGAAAGATCCTGAAAAAAGACGAGCCAAGCGATGCGAAGCAATTTCTCTAGTTCATCATGTTGGTTGTCTGGTATCTTGAGGCTGCGTGAGGCGATCGATATCATGCCGCGAGTCGCACATTTCGGTGGTTGACTCGATGAGATCGAGTAATGGATAACATGCGGGGTTTGGGCGCCATCTATGATAAGCTACCCCTGTCAGAGGAGCTAAGTTATCATACATAGCCGCACCGTCCCATGCCGGACAGGCATCATGGTGCGTCGTTGATGAGCGGGAGCCGTTCCTCGTCGCCGTACTAACGCGGTGCCACCTCCAACGCCCCTGATAAGAACATTTTCTCTTCTGGGAGGAACCAATGAGAGCCGCGGAATGCGTCCAAAGGACCAGAGTTTTTATGGTTTCCGGTGCCAGGGCTTCGTCCTCTTACTCGATCAGATTTGACGTCGTTGTCGACTTGGGAGCATTTCAATTTGCTGCAATCACGGCGAGACCGGCAGCACCCTTGTCTGAAAGCGGTTCGTAGCGTCGTCTTGTCTTGCGTTCTTGGGCTTGTCACCCCCCCGTCTGCATTCCGGTTCCCCAATCGTCTCCTCCTCCTTTGCCCAGCGCCAGCGGGATGGAAAAGATGGAGGCGACGACCTTGAAGAGCTTGTCACGCTTGTCCCATGTGGGGGTTTGTCGCAGCGATTTCCGGGTCCATCAGTCGATAATCACTGACACCAAGGTACCGCCGACTCCTTTTCGTGGAACTGGCGAGGTCTTTTATCAGCCTCTCCATATCCAGAGCGACACCGGCCCAGCATGTGAATAAATATCAGTCGACATCTCCTCCAACATCTCGACCTCGCTCCTTTGTCTGAGAGAGATCAGCTGGAGTTTCCCACCCTCAACCAAACGACCAGACTTGACTGCCTTGGTATCGCCACTTTTGGGGTGTCATCCTGCAGATCACGACCCGTGTCACCCTGCGGCCCAGTCTTTCGGTTCCCCATCTCGTCCTCACGTGCATATCGTCATCGCAACCTGTGCCGGTCCGTGTACTGGTGTTTCGACAACTCGCCGAATCGAAATCATCCGAAAGTCAGCACATTGTCCCGGACTTCACCCCTCGATACGTCTTGCCAAAGTCCATTTCCGTCAGAGAGAGTCGCCAAAATGGACATGGATACTGCAACTACTACCGCTCGCCCGGAAAAGGCCCATGGCTCAAGACTGGGTTACTTGGCGGACAAGATCGCTGTCAAATCAGAGCCTGGGTTGACCAGCGCTCAGCTGATGGTAAGATCTGCCAGACGAAAAATTCTTGAGCCATCCGGAATCGTTCTAACAGTCTCACTTTACAGCTGACGAACCATGATCTCAAACCGTGAGTAATGCCACTGCAAAAAGCGCACGCGACACCTGCAAGAGCATGGTGACTGACCTCCAGACAGAGTTGAACCCGAGAGACGGCAATGGGGACCTTGGAACTTCGTCGCTTTCTGGGTCGCTGACTCCTTCAACGTCAACACATGGATGATTTCGTCCTCCATGATTGTGGGTGGTCTTTCTTGGTGGCAGTCTTGGCTCTGTGTCTGGATCGGCTACGCCATTGCTGGATGCTTCATCTGCATGACTGGCCGCATCGGTGCAGTGTACCATATTGGTTTCCCCGTCGTCAACAGATCATCTTTCGGAATCTGGGGAAGTTTGTGGCCTGTTTTCAACCGTGCCGCCATGGGTAAGCCCGATGCCCTCTTCCCAATGTTGAACGTCACTGATCAACCCCAGCTTGTGTTTGGTACGGTGTCCAGGCCTATATCGGCGGCCACTGCGTTTACCTGATGATCCGTTCCATCTGGAAGTCTTGGGTGAGTAGCAATGCCTCTGGAATGCCTAAGAAGCTTCAAATCTGATGCAAACCAGGACCGAGAGACGATTCCGAACACTTTCTCTGCATCTTCCGGCACTACCACCGCTGACTGGGTGTCTTTCTTCCTCTTCTGGGTGCTGTCGTTGCCCGCCATCTGGTTTCCCGTTCACAAGATCCGACACCTGTTCACAGTCAAGTCGTACATCGTCCCATGCGCTGGAATCGCCTTCATGATCTGGGCCATTGTCCGCGCCGGCGGCATCGGTCCGATCGTTCGTCAGCCCGCAAAGCTTCACGGCAGCGACTTGGCCTGGGAATTCGTCAAGGGCGTCATGTCGTCCATCGCCAACTTCGCGACCCTCATCGTCAACGATCCCGATTTCTCCCGTTTTTCCAAGAAGCCGAACGATGCTCTCTGGTCTCAGCTCTTCACGATTCCCATCGGCTTTGCGTTCACCTCGTTCATCGGCATCATGGTGTCTTCTTCCTCGGCAGTCATCTACGGTGAGGAGATTTGGGACCCCCTCAAGCTCCTCGAGAGATTCATCGACGATGGCGGTTCCGCTCAGCGATTCGGTGTGTTCGTCATCGCTTTTGCATTCGCTCTTGCCCAACTCGGAACCAACATTGCCGCCAACTCCGTTTCCGCAGGTACCGATATGACAGCTCTGCTGCCCCGGTACTTGAGCATTCGTCGCGGTGGATACATTTGCGCCGCAATCGGTCTGGCCATGTGCCCGTACACCCTGCTCACAGATTCCAACAAGTTCACTACCTACCTTTCGGCGTACAGCGTCTTCCTGAGCTCTATCGCAGGTGTCATGTGCTCTGACTACTACGTCGTCAGAAAGGGGTACCTCGAAATCAGAGAGCTGTACGATGCGCGCAAGACCGGCCCGTACTTCTTCACCTACGGCTTCCACTGGCGCGGGTACGCCGCCTACATTGCCGGAATCTTGCCCAATGTGGTTGGATTCGTCGGTGCGATTGGCGTCGATGTCCCTGTCGGCGCGACATACATCTACAATCTCAACTTCTTCGCGGGGTTCATCGTTTCTGGTGGCGTGTACTGGGGTCTCTGCAAGATCTCTCCTATCCCCGCTACTAGTGACAAGTGGATGGAGGTCGGAGAGGAGATTGATGACATCCGCGTCGCATACGACGCTAGTAGTAGCCAGGACTACGATGAGGAGAGAGTTCTTGGCCCCTCCAAGGGCATTGATGATGGAGCTAAGCATGTTTGAAAAGGAGTAAAGGGTTTAAGCAGGGGTCGGTGGTTTGGATTTGGATGATACCATTGTTGTGCAAAAAGGGGGTGCAAAATTGCGATTTCTTGAGCGTATGATTGAAGCAATGAATACTAAATGTTTCTACTGAACTAACTACCTTGCAAACACTTCGTGATATGAGTGAGATGAGAGAATCTTTCGCCCTTAGACCCGATAGACTGTAAATCCTTGCACAGAAAGCACCGAAGCAGTTGTCCCCCAACAACCCGCTACCTCACTCCCCAAATCCTCTTCTTTGCTTTGAACCCCGCTGGAAGGAGCTTAGACAACAACAGCGGGAGTTCAATCTCTTCTGGTATCTCAAAGAGGCGCATAGAAGTGATCGCATCCCCGAAACGGGGCGACGCCGTGATTACAGCAACGAGTATCGCCAACAAGAGACCTACGGCTGATGGGATAGCCCACGCCAGCTCAGCAGTCCCTCGAATAGCGAGTAGAACTCCAAAACCGAGAACGGTCTGCGGCCACAGAGCACGGAAGCTGTCACGCCAGCTGAGACCGAGCCGATCGCGGTTCTGCCCATCCCATGTGATGGACTTGCCCTTGAGTAGACCACACAAGAATAGCGCAACAGCCAGAGCTGTGATCGGTGCAATGAAGGTCATCAGGAATAACTCCACAAAAGTTGAGAGGATGCAGCGAAAACTACCACCATAGCGCCTGGAAGACGTTGTCACCGCCTCGAAGACACCCGCAAGTTTGGGGAATATGCCGAAAGCAGCGAGAGCAAGGTGCGGAGTCCAGCCAAAGACGAGGCTCATTTGAATGACACTAGGTTCTCCTATGACTTCCTTCGTGATGCATGCCAAGGTCATGAAGACGCAGCAAGCCTGGCCAATGTACGTGGTCAAGGTCTGGTACACCTGAAAGCGGCTGATTGGATGAATGCCAGGTTCGCTCAGCATGAACCAGTACTGCATAGTTCCCTGACACCAGCGTAGTTCGCGACAAAGGAAGTCGAGAAATGTAGGCGGATTGGTCTCGTAGCTTTCCGTTTCGATAGGCAGCACCCGGACCTCGTAGCCGCCTCGGCGCATGAACATTGCTTCCAGCAGATCGTGACTGAGGATGTAACCACCCAGCGGCGGCTCTCCAGGGAGCTTCGGCAGCATGCAATGCTTGTGGAAGGCATCAGTACGGATTATGGCGTTGTGACCCCAATACAGCGCGCAGTCGTGAGCCCACCAGCTGAAGCCCATGTTGTATGTTCGCACCCCATGACGCAAGCCGAACTGGAAGAGCCGTGTAAACGCGCTGACCGCAGGCATACCGATGACTATGGTCTGCAATAACCCGATGAGGGAGTTCTCTTCCATGCTAGAAACCAGCCGGACGAGTATGTCGCCGCTCATAGCGCTGTCGGAGTCAAGGGTGACGAAGAAGTCGTCCCCTTGGGAGTGGTTGTCGAGGTAATCCTTGAGGTTGCCAGCCTTGTATCCGGTGTTTCTATCACGGCGTCGATAGAACAGAGGCTTAGCCATATCCTCGCTCACAGATACGGCATGCTGAGCAAATACCCCCTCTTCCGATCGCGCTACGTCAACGTGGTCGGTGTCGCTAAGTAGCACAAAGCGAAAGTGCTCGAGGCAATTGGTTTGCTGAAGGCTCTCATACATGGCGTAGAGGCGGTCGAGCACTGGACCTGGATCTTCGTTACGCATGAAAATCGTGAGCGCTGTCGTAGACCTAAGCTTCGACAGAGGTCCTCGAGGTCGAAAATATGGGTAGACGGATCGCTCTGCGTTGCCGAACAAGATGATACATAGGCCAATTGCAGAGTTCCAGAAGCTGACAATAGGCCATGGAATGCAGATAGTTCCGCAAAGCACAATGACTGTGTCTAGCAGAGTGTGCTTGCTTCGCACGAATACGATGAAGTTGATCCAAAGGAACGGGAGGATGGTGATACTGTTAAGGGCTATAACCAAAAAGCGGCGCTGGGAGACTGACATCCAAGCCTCGCGATTTGAGGCCACGACACACATCTTGCGTTTGAGGTATGTTGAGTCGATCCGATGTGCGTGACCTAATGCCGTATCAATAGCTATTGAAAACTTTTGCAAGTCTCAGCTGGGTCCAATATGGAAACTGGGAAATCAAATACTTCAGTTCGAAGGCCCCTAAGAGTCGAGAATGGATTCACGGGCATTTATGGAAGTAAGTTCAGAACTCCGACTGTCGGTTATCTTGTCTTACAAGTCTGAAATCGGGAAGGCCAAATTGTGCACCCAGATAGCTTTCATGGCAAAGGAGGAAATGGGAGACAGAAAACAGCTGTCTGACTCTTTCCGCTGGGGGCTCGGCGCCGCCGCGAGCGAGAACAGCCCCTCCCAGCAAGACTTCTGACCAAGTGCGGTATCTAGGCCTGGGACTTCGGATTACCGGAGTCCAGCATAGATTGTCAACCCGTACCATATACGCTCAGACTCATCTGCTTTGTGGATACCAATCACCTTCCATCAATGGATACTCGGACATCTCGGGACGCTGCTTGTAAGAAGTCACTACGATCTAACATACCTAGGTGAACGGGATCAACAAGTTCCCAACGCCGCGTATCCAAGGGTGAACGTCTAAGCTCACATCAACTTGGAGAATCCTGCAGTCTTCTGAGCATATTAACAGTCACGGGAATATACAAATCATCAACGCTCCGAGGCCATATTTCCTTCACGACGGAGTGGTACAGCATAGTGTACAGTATACACCTTTCAGAAACCAAGGCCGGGCTGGAGCTGTCAAGCCGTACAGTTAAGCTTTTCCAGTGTAACTCACCTGAAGCTTGGAATGAAGATGGCAATCTCTTGTGTACTACGAATTACCTCTACCCGGTATTTTGACACCTGTCATCTCGCACTAAGTCAAGTCCGCCTATCACTTAGTGATTCGCTTCATAGCCCAAGGAGCACCATTCGGCATCACAAAGAGCCCGACCTCGCCGCTTGGACACTGAGTATTAAGGTTCCCAAATTACAATTGACTTTCGGCTACCTAGTTATCTACTGGCTATGCCCCCCCACCCTTCCGGTGGGATACCGACACGACGCTTGAATACGTGCATGATTGACTTATAAAATTGTTTTCAGTCCTTGCTATGAAGAGGAAATAAACAAGTGAGCTGGTGGCAATTAGCCTTTTCGTACTGCAGGAATCCATTACTCTGAAGAGCTCTTCATTCTTGGCTCGACTGTTAGTCACTCATTTTTTTGAGATGCACTTTCTTAAGTCTCTTTGCACAGCCAGCTTAGCTGCCGTAGCTACCTCTACATATGCGGGTAACCTTAATTATGGCTCTCCCTCACTCCACCACCCGTTCCTCGGTATCTCTATTCGCAAAGTAGCAAGTCGATCTGAGGGTAGTTCGCCATGGACACCGGAGCAGCTGAATTTCACACACGGCGTAGCATCTGGTGACCCGTATGACGACAGCGTTATCCTCTGGACTCGTGTTGCACCAACCCTGGATAATGACCGCAGCAACGTGACTGTTGAGGGCACCGCTCCAATGTACGCTCATGACAACGACGTCTTCGTCAAGGCAAGCAAGTCGCCAATCTGCGTTGACTGGAAGATCGGGAGGTCTGCATCCATGGATGGGCAACCGATTAAGTCAGGGACGGCTTATACGAGTTCGGATGTTGACTTCACCGTCAAGGTTAGTTGACGCGTATCACGTAGACGCCCAAAGCTTCAATCACTTACTCTACCACAGGTCGAAGCAAAGGCTCTCAAGCCATTCACGGTTTACTGTTGGTTCAGCAACCTAGGCCGAAAGACGTGATCTAACGCAAAGCAGATTACCAGTTCAATGTCTGCAATTCCGATGTCAAGTCCCCTGTCGGCAGAACTCGAACCCTGCCGGAGTCGGGTACCAAAGTGAGACGGGCAATCAAGCTAGCTGTCTATAGCTGTGCCAACTACCGTGAGCTATTCCATAAAATACATGTTAAAACAATGTAGTTATGTTATCCAAGCTAATGTGTTTGCATTAGCATTCGGATTCTTCAATGCCTACGGGAATCCCGAGCGGAAAGACTCCGTGGACTATATCGTCCACCTCGGCGATTATATTTACGAGTATGGGAACGGCGAGTTCCCGTCGGCGGCTTGGGATGGGGAAATTCTATAGGTCGCGTCCCCGAGCCCAATCGCTCATGTCATACGTGCGTAAAATCTTGACGCCTATCCATTGAACGATTCATGACTGATTCAAGTCACCCTTAGGCTCTACGATTACCGACGACGCCTTGCCCAGTACCGCAGCGACCCTGACCTTCGCGCTAGCCATCAAAAGTTCCCCTGGATAACTGTCTGGGATGACCACGAGGTGATGGACAACCCCTACCGAGATGGTTCCGCAGCAATGAACAACACCGAACAGTCATTTATCAAAGACGACGGCATATCTGTGGAAGCGCGCAAGATGAATGCTGTGCGCGCATACTTCGAATGGAGTGAGTCCTAACTGCCTCACGACACAAAATCTCCCAGCTGTCCACGCTGACATTGCCTGCTCCCACAAGTGCCCCTCCGTCAGGTTGATATGGACGACAACCTGCGCATCTGGCGTAGCTTCCAGTTCGGCGACCTCTTCAATCTCATCATGCTCGACACCCGCAACTACGATCGCTCCATCACCGACCTATACTGGAACACAGGCTACGTTCATACCATTAGTGATGATACCAGCCGCTCGCTGATGGGCTCTCGCCAAGAAAACTGGTTCTACCGTCAGCTTATAGAGTCAGCCTCGACAACACGATGGCGTGTCGTTGGTAATCAGGTAGTCTTCAGCAAGATGAACCAGAGCATCTCCAATGGACCCAAGAACCCGTTCAACTACGACCAGTGGGACGGTTACGCTGCTAACCGAAACCGGACGCTCAAGACGCTCTACGATAACAGCATCGACAACACAGTGTTTTTGGCCGGCGATAGTCATGCATCGTGGGTCAGTGACCTTGTCTGGCTTGGCGAAAAGGACTACAATTCGGAGACTGGGGCCGGTTCCATCGGGGTTGAGTTCGCCGGCACAGCCGTCACCTCGCCTTCATCGGCGGGTCAAAATATCACCCAGGAGAAAGCTCTTAACAGAAGCGCTTGGATGACCGCTGCGAACCCAGAGCTGCAGTGGCAGGAGTACTACTACCGCGGCTACTTTGAGATGACCATCGACTACGACGCAGTCAACGCTACCTTCTTTGGGTTGCCCACTTACGCCACGAGGAACGGACTCGAGATCGCGCTGGCAAATTTCACGGTCCTCGCTGGGGAGAACAAGCTACGGCGCCCCGTTGGTGGAGGCAGCGTGGAGTTTGGGAACCTGAAAGGCGGCGTCACGAAGCAGACTAACTTGACCAATGACACTAACACTGGAGAATGGTCCGTGTTTGAGAGTTCGAGGCTAGGCTAGGAAGACCAGTTTCAATAGACATCCATCTATTAGCTCACAAGAGCGGAGTGGTGCTCAGCGCAGGTACCCGTGGCCAGTCCGAAGAGCCACAGAAGTAGTTCCACGTGGGTTAGAGAACCCAATAGCAATGCTGCAGACGATGTTGACAGTACTTTTCGAGCAGGCGTTCATGTTACGGCCAATAATACTACGTCTGCGAGCCTTACCTACGTGGAAACAAGGTGGCATTGAGATATCAAATCTATTTTGAAAGCCCCTACCTACACCTATCTAACGTGGTACAAAAAATACATGTAAAACTACTTACTGCCGCATTTACTCAAACATTTGAATTTATAGTGCATGGGTTAAGGAAAGCTTCAAGGTCCAGCTGTGGCCTTGGCTAAGTTGATCGGTATTGATGCGGCGGAGGATTTTCACTGATTCATTGCATTCTGTGGTAGGGATGATTTCTATGGTCATTGTCTGAATCCATGATTTCTATATTCTTCTTCATAACAGAACGTATATGTACCACGTGCCAGTGATGACTGACACAATCTTACATATTGAGCGGTTGCATAACCAAGTTAATGGAGTTTCATGGCCCAGCTGCCGCCTACAATGGTCTTTGATCCAGCTTTATGGATTGAAGAAAGTTTCCCAAAGTCTTCTCGATGCTGTCGCGCTCAAAATCGAACTTGTAACGGTCCACATTCTCAGGCGCATAATTGACCGCGTGCACACCGTCTTGCAGTGCCAGCCATGCAGCTAACAGCGCGCCTTCCATGTTCCAACCATTTTCTTCCTCGGCAGTTTTGAACAGTGGATTATCGTGACCCTGATCAAGCCCCTGGGCTATGAAAGCTTCAGTATACTGCTTCCACCAATCCGTATAAGCGTTAAACCACGCTTCAGGATATCTCTCTTTCAAGTCGTCGTCGTCGAAATTATCGCCCCCTTCAGGGTTTGCGGGCCACCCATAGGTGTACCACATGGAATTGGTTCCGTAGTCTGGCCAAATGGAGTATTTGTATCCTGGCAGGGAAGATTTGTGTTTCTCCTGGGGTTCTGGCCGCTCGTTCAATTGAGATTCAGGGTCTAGTTGATCTTCCGACTCCAGGGGTTCCTCTTTGTGTATTTGGAGTGAAGGCGTATCTGCTGGCGGCTCATGGACGGAATCTTCCTCCTCTACCTTAGATAGGGGCTCGGAGATGGCCTGAGTGACTGGAAGTTGGGACTCGGCCGATGCCGTAGGGGTGGCAGACAGCGGGTCTTTGTCCTCTGCCAAGCGAACTTGCAGAGAGTCGCCTGATAGTTCAAGAACAAGGCCATAGGGGGTAGTAATAGAAAAGTAAATATCAAAATCGGAGTGTTCAGCAAGTGCTAATAACGCCTTAATGGATGCGATGAAAGGAGCCATTGAAAGGTGAAAAGGGAAAGGTGCGGATTTGGTGAAGTTTTGAAAATGAAGGGTTGCGGATCGTTTGAGCAACAAACTGGCTGAGGAATACTGGCCGTATTAGTATCTAGAAAACCGGGGCTGAGGCCGTGGCTGTGTCAGCGCGAACAGTCAGAGGTAGTATTATTTCACTTTGTCCATTTACAGGGAGCAGCTACTCTTCTACCAGCATGCTCCGGTCAGTCCAATAACATGCCGATTTTCCAGCTGCCAGTGACTGTGATCAAGGCCATGTATCGTGGCCACCAGCAGGGTCCTGGCGTCAATTGCAAAACCAACACGAACAGGTCGGCGTCAAGTTCTAAATCTGGAGATGAAAAAGCCGTTCCGGCTAGATAACACGCGGATTGCAACGAAGTGTAAAATGTACTTAAACCTTGGTGTCTACGCGGCTAAATTCTTGTTCATGACGCCTAGTCAGACAACGACCACGATCATTTCAGTCACATTCTATCCTTCCACTGCACCTTACACGATTTGCCAATTGGGTTGGTGCCAATTTCTAAGCTCACCCGCTCACAATGTTCAAGTGAGTTCACCTCTCATTGGAAAACTCATCCAGAGACTTAACTCAGCTGCTAACATGATCTGGCAACAGACAATCCGAGTCAGTTAAGCGTATAATACGTGATGTCCAGAAGGATGGCAGTCGCAAGATGACTCCCGACCAAGTTGTTCACGCCTGGAACATGCCCATGACAAGCGAGATTCCTGCGCCCAAAGGAGCAGACAAACCCCTACCCAACCTATGGATTGAAGAAGGGACTCCTAAGTCTGGCCTGCGACATATGGTTGGAAGCGACGAGGAGATTGGTTCGTGGGAAGGCAAGGGCATCCTTAGGGAGCTTCGACGAGATAAGATACCCATGTTTGTTGAGGCGGCGACTACGGCAGGTAGACGCATCACCACACAGGGCTCAAGAGACGATCGTCACATCATGTCAACATACATTGAAGGCCGTGTGTTGAAAACTGCAGTTACAGCCGGAAGCAATGGGTATCTTGTAGGGGCTAACCCCGCGAAGAAGTTCAAGGTTAAGCCGGGCGACCCGGGCCAGGTCAGCGATCGTACAGCGGAAAACTTGTACCGATATCCGCTGAATTGCCCGGATAGAAGGCGGACTGACGAGGCGAAGAAGGGGGAGGAAATGGAGCGCAAGGAGCCAGCTATGCCAAAGGTGAAACCCTCCCACCTGGGAAGGTTCCTCAACAGAAACAAGTGAGACGGTTCATGGAATTTCGATTTAGCAAACAAGACTCTCGAAGGCACACTGGATGTGCCAAGGCGTTACCGGCAGGCTTTTATTATCTAGTGCCTTACACCATAGTACCTACCATAGGTAGTTACTAGATTTACCTAAGGTTAGAAGCAGCACCTAAAGGAGATCTTGTGAAGCTTCAACCCGGTCCCATCCGCGCGTTGTCGCCGTCGCCGAGCATCTACTACCTCTCTTTCTCCCAAATTTACCAGTGTCTGTTGCGAAGGCGCCTCAAGTGCTTTACGTTGAAGATCACGTTCAATACTGACGACTTTGCTCCATAGACCGGGTCATCCCATCAACTGCTAGACGGCGTACGCAAACATACAGTCCGACTATGTTTTCCTTGGATCCGCCTATGAATAACTCCGGAGTAAAGCTATATTACTGTAATAATGGTAGAGGCGAATACCGGTGCCAAATAGACTTAGAGAACGGCTGAAGACGGTACACTGATGCTATCTAGTAGTTGGCGGGATAAGACCTGCAAACAGCACGAACTACCTAGTAAAGTAAGTATGGAAGAGGTATTGGTCCCTTTACCTTTGCATGTTCAAGTGTGCAAGACACGGTGAGCTTTAGTTACGGCGTGAAACCTATTTACTGTAAGCGCTGGCGTCTTTCGGTATAGGTAGGTTTGTAGACCGATTGGAAGGGCCCGTTGTGAGCAATGCTCTGCTAGTTCCTCGTCAGTTGGTGCTTATGGTTTCAGGCATTTCATCGCACGCAGGCGCTGGGAGCGGACCCGAAAACCCATGGCCCCTGTATTCTACCCTAAGCGCTCGGAAGTTCCTAAAAATGGGATGCGCCCACTCCAGTTGTTTTGATATCTCAATCGCTGTTGGTTTGGTCTGTTGTTTAGGTCTGTTGGTTAGGTCTTCTGGCCGTCACCCCTGCAAGTGGAAAAAGTGTCATAATAAGCATGGATGACAATGCTGCCTACTTTACCTACCTGTGTCACCTGTGGGCTCTGACTGCTGCAAGGCGCTTTTAGCACAGCAACAGGCGGCCTCAGTCCCCTGTTCTCACAATACTAATATGTGAATTATCTCTCGACCAGATCTGTCATTTGCTGAAGCTAATCAACATCTCATCTCTTTAGAACTCCATCAAGTCATCAATACTTTACAATGTCTCCTCCATTCCAATCTATTAAAGCACTACTAGCACTAGCCAAGAATTCTAACTTTAAAATCCACTTTTCTATCACTACCCCCTATAGCCTTGTTATTGAGCTCTCAGGTGACGCTCTCGAAGTCCGCCTAAAGGAGGACATGTAGTCACTCCCTGTCAACACGACAGCGCAAGTAAGGCCAGAGGAACCATCAACCATCCAGCCTACGTCCGCATCCCTGTCCCAGACGGAGGATCAGGAGTCGGTCAACGAGCCACAAACAGTACATGTCGAGCCACAAGTCCCAGCCACCCAGGTCGGAGACGAGCCTCTGTCTCCAACGAAGGAGCAAAATTCAACCGAGCAGTCACGGACAGAATCGAGGTCGGTGCAGGCTCATGAAGAGAATCCCTTGAAGCCAGACGACCAATTAGAAGCTCTACCAGAGTATGGGCCTTCTTTACCAGGATATAAATACTGCATTTGGGAGGACTTTGGGACGAATTTCCTGTGGTATGTCTGGAACTGGCCCGCGAATCCCGAATTCTGCGGCGAGCCTGTCGAAGACGACGACCTCTTAGAGAGATATCCCAAGACATGGTACAAGGCCTATGACGATTGGGTCGATCGATACACGGAGGCTTTCAGGGCCCACATAGAAATGAACGCCGATAATCCAGTAATCGACACTGCAAAGGAGTTGAGCCTCTGGAAATTTGAGGGTACCCTTTTAGCTGCGGGGCTGGCTCTACAAGATGGAGTTCATGGGGTGGGTTACGGAACAGAGAAGAATGAAGGCTCGGATGCTCATGAATTCGAATTCGAAAGCGAGGGCTCTGAGAGTATTGGAAAGACTTTGGAACGATACATTCAAACGAGGATATTGGTTCAGAGCCTGGATATCGGGGTATGATGCATTGAATGGACCATCACCATACCTTTAGTACACTAGTCCCAGAATCCAGTTGTCCAGAAACATGTAGAATTGATACAGCAATCGTCCGCGTATAGATAAGTAGATATATTGATCAAATCAATTGCGGTATTAGCGTTTTAGATAGCGTTCAACTAAATAGGCCTAAGGAAACATGACTCAAAGAAACGTGACGTGACCCAGTGTTGGTCGATGTGTAAACTTCCCCAGAAACTCCTTCATGCTCTCGACAAACCCGTAGAATAATCCAAACTGAAAGATCTCAAATCCCAATTCAGTGCGCCACCTCGGACCCGAGCCGCCTGAATCCCAAGCGACTCCATCTCTCCTTAGCCGGAGACAACAAATCTCTCTTCTTCGGCGCCTGGACCTCGGTCTCAGGCTTACCGAGATCCCACTTGATCGTCTCGGGCCACACAAGGCTCGTCTCCTTCTTCTCATCCGCTGCCGACCAATTCTCAATGGACGGCACGTTGAGCTTACCATATCCTCTCAGTCTCTCAAGGATCTCACTTGTGTTTCTCACGTCACCGCGGGTGGCCCAGCCACATCGTCGCATGCCGTCGAGATGCATGTCGGCCGCGGCACGAAGACGCTCGTCCTTATCCGCGCCTTGACTTGCGGAAAGGTGCTCGTCAAGATCGCACACAACATCCAGATGCACACGTCCAGCATCGCGAAGGCGCTTGGCGTGGCGCAGGAGGTAGGCTAGGCGGTTCGAGAAGTAGAATGCGGAAGAGTCCAAGCCACCACGAGACTGGCGAACGTTGTAGTATATAGTTTCGCAGAGGGTGATGGCTTGGTCTAGGTGACCCGCAAGCTCGTGCGCGTTGACCAACAGGGAGCCGATTGTCAGCACGATATCAGGAGACCACACGCCACAGTTGCGTTGAACCTCTCTGGATCGCCAAAGCGAGGTAAGAAGGCTCTGGAAAGGAACAGTTAGTACAGAGCACAAAGCTGTTAGTCGTTGAAGACTGTATGAAACTTACCTCAAGTTCTGCCCAGTTCTTCTGCTCGCCAAGGAGGCGAACAAGTCCGGAAATGTCCTCGAAGCGAAGGCTAGTAAACTCGACCTTATCGTCTCTCAAGACCGTCAACACATGTTGCAAGATGTTGCGGCTGATGGAAAGCAGCTCATCCTGCTGTTGCTTGCCGGCAGACTTCCACGTGTCTACGCGGATGCCAGCCAGGACCTCGGCGAAACGAAAGCCCCAAACGTAGCAGTTGCGCTGGTGATAGAATCGCTGGGATTGCGCAAAGTCAAATCCACATTGCGCGACCTTCTGAGCTCTGACAAAGTCCTTCTCCTCAACCATGAGTCTTCTGACAGCAGTGTAGGCGGCCTTGCAGGACACCAGACCAAAGTCGACAGTACCCCTATCGGCAATGCCACCGCCGATCTCGTTGAGAAGCGCGACGTAGAAGGCGAATCTGGCATTCCTGTCGTCTTGAGAGCTTGAAGACTTGAAGTAACGCGAGGTGAACAGGGCGAAGAGCTTCTTGTCAAGCACGTCCACGAAACCGTTGCGGCCACGGGACTGCCAGACGAAGCGGAGGCGGGCTGCTGGCTCAATGATCGTCTCGATCCTTGTCGAATCGGTGCACGTAGCCATAACAGACATGTACTGCTCGTAGAGAACTGTCTCGAGGAGCACATCTGCCATCAGCTCAGAGAAGCTGTACCGTACCTTAGCATCTCCGTTGAGAGCCTGCTCAAACGAGATCAAGAATACCAAGTATACCTTGCTCGACTGGCCGGAGATCTTGATGTTGACATCCTTCTCTCCGCCTTCGAATCCAGGGAAGAGAAGCAGGTATCGCAGCTGTCGGAGAAGATCCTGGCCATAGTGGACCATGCCCGCAGACAGGTAAATGGACGCCAGCGTCTTGGCTGACGCATGGAGGTTCATAGAGATCTTGACAGTAGTGATGATCTCAATGATAGAAACCTGTAGAAGCTGGGCGATGGAGGAGTGAGCCTCCTTGTTACCAATCTTCTTGTACAGCAAGACAACTTCCTTGAGTTTGGACAGAGTCTTCTCGTGCCACCAGCCGAATTCAATCTTGAGTTGGGCGTATATCTCAAGACTGACTCCGATCGCACGATCGATGGTTGTGGTGGTTGTCACCTTGTTGGTTGTGATGACAGTCACGTAGAGCTTCGATAGACGCTTCTTGATCGTCCTGACGGTGGTCTCTGAGATAACGTTGGTGGTCGTAGTCTTCTTGATAACCTCCTCGTAGATGGTAATGGACTCGTGGTAGTGCTCCTCGGAAGTCTCACACAACTCCGCCAGAGCGATCAAAGCCTTGATGACGATGGCAGCATTGGCGCCAAAGACCTTGGTCGCGGTCTCGCGATACTCAATCGTGAGCTTGTAGCGAACCGAGAACTCGACCTTAGCGTGGAACTCAAGGACATATCGGTATCGCTCGTAAATGAGCTCGACGATCTCCTGCGTGAACTTGATCTCACGATTGTGATGAACAAACGTGGTCCAGAGCGTGACGCAAATCTTCTGCAGCTCAGCCCAGCGCTTCTCAGCGTGGTAGTGGTTCAGGACGATGATGGCTGCATCTAGTGCACTTCCATGGCAGCACCCGTCCTTGGAGAAGATGGTGACGATTTCGCCGTAGCAGTCATAAGCTTCTCTGCGGCCAAGTTTGTGGTAGACAGCAGCGAGCTTGTAGAGAATACTGACTTGCAGGCTATGACCAGATGACAAATGTTTACGGTAATGCTGCAGGAGCTTGACGTAGATGTCAATGACCTTCTCGTGACGGTGGAAGTCTTCATAGAACTGAACCAGGGCCTCAGCCGCCTCGAAGATCAACACATTGTCAGCCTTGAGGGTCGAGAAACAGGCGTTGTAGATTCGGAGATAGATCGCATCCGCCTTCTCGAATTGCCTTTGACGATGATAGCAGAGAGCAAGACGCTGTGCGACAAGTATGCGCTCGGAGATGAACTCGCCCTCGATGGTCAACTTGGAGTCGACTGACAAGACGCCCTTCCAAGTGACTTCGAGAGACTGGCGAATTACGACCTCGGCTTCAGCCCAATTCTCAAGCTTGAGATAGAGGTTGACCATCGCCAAGCAAGACTTGAAGAAATTTCTATCGGCCTTGCGACCACGGCACCGTTGATAGTTGGTCTCCCAAATCTCCCTGGTGACGGTCTCAACGACGGTGGTGGTCGTCTTGGTCTCGACATAGGTCTCGGTGATCTCCTCGACGACCTCGGTGATGATTGTGGTAGTGGATTGAGCCTCTTCGCTCTCGACAGTTTTCCTCTCCTTGAACCAGCCCCAGACTTTCTTGAGGATGGACATGGATACGCTGAGGATGCCGAAAGACTTCGCAAGAATACCAAGTTCCCTGAGGCGAATCATAATAATCTCGGACTCAAAGGACTGGTTCTCGTACTCGGCCCAGACGCAAATCATGATGTTGCAAGCCTCCTCCGTTCGCTTGACGCGCTTGAGGAAGTTGATGTACTCGATGGCAATGTTGATCTTCTGAATGTGAAGCTCGATTGTCACCTTGCTAGTACGGCAGACTTCGAGAATGCCCCGCCAGAGGCTGATGTATAGCCTCTCGGCTTGAATTAGGTGGCCCTTGGACTCATACTCAACAGCTAGGCTGATGAGAATCTTGATGCGACGGACGTCGGTGAACGACAAGTCGTCCGCAGTGTCGAACAAGAGCGAGTGCCACTGGCTATGGTTGTGGATCTTCTTGTCGCTAGCCTTCAGAACGACGGTCATGCCTGAGATGGCTTCGGCAATTGACCCCTCCTTCTTCGAGCCCTTGCCGAAACGGGCGGTAATTATGATATGAAGTTCGCTGTAGATAGACATCGCAAGCTCTTCTTCCTTGATATCGATGTAGAGTTTAGCGAGCGCCTCATACCATTTGATGACGGCATCACTGCGGGCTCCCTGCTTGCTCTTGGAGATCTCAATCATGAACTTGATCATCTCTTCACGGTGCGTAACCGTTTGAGTGCGCTTGGTGAAGGTGAGAGTCTCGGTGCAAGTGAGGAACAGGTTCGTGCATGAAACCACGAGAGGGCTGAACTTGTAAAGGATAGTCTGCCCAAGATGCGAAGCCTTGTAAAAGAACTCGGCCGCGAAAGCATGCTCAGACTGACTCCGGTGCAGACTTCCGAGGATGATGAGACTTTGGAGGTATGATCGGTTCTTCTCGCCGAAACAAGTGGAACGGATCCGGAGACTCAAGCTGTGCATCTCAATGGTCTCCTTGATGGCGTACTGTGTTTGCCAGTAGTGCCATTCCAGCATGGTGAAGAAGATGGAGTCGGGAAAAACATCCTTGAACTCGGAAGTCAAGGTGATGGTGCCGTTTTGGCCGCAAAGTGACGATGAGCGGAAATGGGAAACCCAGTGGCGCACCATGTAGCTGACGATGTGGTACGCTTGGAAGCACTCATGGAAAGTCTCCTCGGCAACCAGTTCCATCGACGGCTCACAAGTATAATTGCTGAACTTAGTCTTGGCAAAGAGAAGGAGGGCCATGGTGAGGTGGCGGTGAGAGTCGTGAAGAGACATGAGGGTTGAGCCGCAAAGGCTCTGGACGTACTTCCTGATGGTGGAATGCTTGAATCGCAGAGTGCCGTGGCGGATCACCACAAGGCCTTGGGTGTTGCTTACAGGCCCCTTGACATCAGCACCAGAAGAAACAGTGCGTGTCGACAACGAGACTCCCAGGAGGTCTGTCATCTCACCGAGTGTGAGCGGGCGCTGGGCGGTGACCATGAACGTGAATAGGTTGTAGGTCTTGCTCTCGCCGTACTCCTCCTTGAGGTTGACCTTCTTCATCAACTCTCCAATGACGGCTTTGACATCGGATTTGCAGCCAGCGATGATGCCTCTGAAGACTCCAAAGTCCGAGACTGCGGAGAAAAGCCTTCTGGCAAGGTAGGCAAATAGAAACGAACCCTTGGCCTGGTCCGC